TGCGATTTTTAAGGAACGTGGGAAAGCTGCAGCAGCCGTGGCGGGTGAGGTAAACCAAAGCCGCCTTGGTTTTTTCCGGAACGCCCCTCCCCCACTCTGAGTCACCTCATGCTGTGGAGAGAAGAGATGTGTTCTGATCACTTTTGTCTTCTCTGATCACGGGGCCGTTCAGCCCAGGGTGACTAAGTGGGAGCGTTCTGTGGGTCTTAAATGCTTTCAGCTGGGTGTTTCCATAGTGCTGTCGCCATGGCACCCAGCTAAGCACGCAGCCGGTGGCTCAGCGGCGGGCGGGGGCTGAAGGGGGCCGGCCACTGGGACCGCCTGTCCATGGGGCAGGCTCAGGGCCGTTGTAAATGGCCGGCTGCCAGGTTGGAGGTGCAGACCAGGCCGTGCTCTGTCCTCTGCACTTTCCACCCAGCTCGGACGTGCCCCATGCAGGGCATCCCCGTCCAGCAGCAGGTCAGAATTGGTCGGGCCCTGCAGCGCTGGCCACCACCTCCCCTCCTCCCCTCCTCCCCTCCTCCCCTCCTCCCCTTTCCATCCCCGCACCGGCCCCTTGTGTGGTGAAGCTTCTGCCTGGCCTAGATTTCCAGGATCTGCCCTGCACAGTCGTGGCCTTTATGAGGAGTTAGTGTTCTGGAAAAGGAGGTGAAGAGAGGCGGCTGTCATTCCTAGACAGAGTGGCAGCCGCATGTCACGCACTAACTCAGGCTCCGCCATGGCCGGATGCTCATATGGGGGCTCTGAGGCAGGAGGTGTCGGCTCCCTCCGTCCCCCGGGGGCTGGCCATCCCTGCTTACAGCTCTGGGAACATCTCTCTTCTCTGTCCCCAGGGTTTGGAGGGGCCCCGCTGGATCACCATGTAGCCGTACTTTGTCTCTCCCCCAACTTCCCCTGGGTTTCTGTTGAAATCTGTGTGCCACTCCCAGCCATTTACGGGGCTCTTTTGAGTAAGTGGAAGCCTTAAAAATAAAACACCAACTCCCTACCCAGCCAGGGAGGCTGCCAGACCCTGCTAATGAGGCCAGTACCCCTTGCTGTACTCTCCCCCGGGGGACCGAGCACGAGCGTGAGAAAGTCCTGTAGCCTAAAAACCCAGAAACCGCCTGTAGGGTGGGCAGCCGTACCGGCTCCAGAGGCCTTGGTTTGGAAGGTGACGTTCTCAGGGTGAGGAGACCCAAGGGGCCCTGCGGCCTAGTTTATGCTGCTGTCCTGGGGTGACCGCTTCAAGCAGCACCTTCACTTCCCCCGAGTCCCGTTTGGACGGCAACCTGCGTGGAGGCCGTGGCTCTGGGCAGACCCCCTGGCCTGCCTTTTCTCAGTGCCTCAGTTTCTTTTGCCAGGTGTCGGATCTCCTGCTGAGCGCTCTCTGGCCCTGAGCTCTCTGCCCACCATGCCCTCTGGGCCAGCCACTGCTGGAAAAGCCCCCAGGGAGGGTACAGAATCCTCATGATGAGGTGTGTTGGGGGTTGCTCCATGGAACCTCACATTCCTGAGGCCGCCCCACTTAAGGGGTTCTGGACACCGAATAGCTCCTGTGCACTCTTGTGCATGAGGTCGGGGTCCAAGGCAGGCATCCCCATCACAGGCCACTCAGAGCCTGGAGGCGCACCCCAGCGTCCCTGGCAGCTCCCTGGGGGAGGAGTGGGCAGGACCCTGCAGGCGGCCTCAGAACAGGCCTGGGTGTTGCTCTGAGTGATGTTGCAGGGGCATGGGTGGGTACTCATCTCCAGGCCCCTCATTGTGCACAAGCCCACCTGTTTCTCGGAGTGAGCCCTGCCCACCCAGTCCCTTTGATCCTGAAGGTCGGGGAAGGAGTCCAGCAGCCAGGCTGGAGCACAGCGGGCTCAGGTGTCCTCCTCCATAGCTGCAGCATGTGGCATCCTGGCCACGACCACCATGCCCTCCCCAGGCCCCAGGGTACCCCCGAATCAGGCTGTCCCACTCCACCCCTTGCTGGAGAAGGAGCTTCAGAGATCACTGGAGGTTCCTGGGAGCAAGAGCAGGAAGCCCTGGTGGGTGCGTGTTGCATAACCAGAGGAAGAGAACTTCGTGCTCCAGCTGCGGAGGTGGAAGAGGAGGAGGAGGAGGAGGAGAAGGAGGTGGAGGAGAAAGAGGAGAAAAAGGAGAAAGTGGAGGGGGAGGCGGCGGCAGCGGCAGTGGGGGCGGCAGCAGAGGCCTCAGCATGGAGCAGAGCTGGCTGGAAAGTCTGCTTAAGGCTGCTTTGCAGGGCCTCTCGCCTGTGATCAAACTTCTCGCTTCCCAAACGCCATCCCAGGTCCCATTTAGATGACCCTGTGGCCAGGCCCTGCAGCGCCTCTGGGGGGTTAGGGCCTGTTGAGGGTAGCGGTAGCAAGCCCACTGTTTGGAGGAGCAGCTGGGGTTTAGTGTGGGAAAGCAAGGTGGGCTGCAAGGGCAGGGGAGTGCTGGGCTCCATGTTGGGGGATGTGGCTGGGTAGGCTCTAGCCTTGGGGACAGCACGGTCTGCTCATACTGGCCAGCAGGCAGAGCCAGTGCCCGGTGGTAGCGCTGGGACCGACCCACACCCCTCCAGGCTGATTCTCACCCCTGTAGTGGAGGCTTGCGGGGGTAGGCAGCGAGGGAACAGGCTGCTCCACTCCCCTCCCCGCCACCCACCTGGGCCGGCGCTGCCCACCCACGCTGAGTCAGAGCTGTGGGCGGGGCGGCCGTGAGGCTGAGTCAGGCGGGGGAGGCCGCCCCCTTGCGGAGGCCGAATCTTCTTAGGATCCGATTCTGAACTGGCCACTCTTTGACGGGTGATCCAGTGGACAGGGGATCTGTGTCTTGCTGTGGAGGGTCTGCCTCAGGCCGGTAGGGGCTCAGCCCAGGGCAGGTAGGCACAGGAGGGGAGGCGAGACAGAGGAGAGCTGGAAAGACCTTTCTGGCAGAGGAGAAGCTGGTTCCCTGCTGAAGCAGCTAGGATCCTGCGGCCACCCGGGAGGGATCTGGTTCGCTGCTGAAGCAGCTAGGATCCTGCGGCCACCCGGGAGGGATCTGGGTGTCTCCCTGGGGACAGGGTCTGTGCCTGGAGTGCTGCTCCCTCACCCTCACCGGCCACCCATAGCCTCATCAGCGTTTTGGGACAGAAAGTTTCCAGCCTACAAAACTGGAGAGAGCCGTTGACATCCAGGGCCGCAGTCAAGCCCTCCCACTGTCGGGCTGGGGTTCTGGAATCGGGAACCTGGGTGCCAGGTGTCAGCTGTGCCACAGGATGTCAGGCACATGATCCGCCAGCCGGGGTCGTGGAGGGGCTGGTGGGGGTTGGGGAGGCATGTTCCTCCCAGAGGGACAGAGGCAGAGTGCCTTGGGATTTGGGACTGTCACTTCCACCCACAGTCCTGTTGGCTGGGTGAGTCACACCACAAGCCCTGTACCCACGGGCAGCCTGGGAGGCGCCTCTGCCCGGGATGGGAGCACGGTCCGGGGCCTGGGAGGGAGCAGCCGCCCTCAGCTTCTTCCCCACTCTCTCCCCTAGACTCCCTCTTTCCAATTTCCTTCTGAGGCTCACAGCGGAGAGGCCTGGGCTCAGTTGCAGCTTCTTGGTCTGGCTTTGCTTACACTAGTTCTTTTAAAGAGTTTTTAAAATTGTGATAAAATACATGTGACTAATCCAGTTGACCATGGTAACCATTAAGTGCACAGTTCAGCGGCATTAGTGCATTCACGTGGTTGTGCGATCATCACCACCATCCATCTCCAGAAGTTCCCATCTTCCCAAAGTGAAGCTCTGGTACCCTCCGTCCTGGTGTGTTCAGAATTGGTAGCTGAATCTGGAGGCTCTATCAGGTTGAGACTCAGTTTTCCTTTTGGGGAAATCATTTTGGCCGTAGCAGTTTCTGTTGTTTTGGCTGGAACCCTTTCTGGGAGGACTGTGTGTCCACCCCGAAGTAGAGAGTGGTCAAGACATGACAGCCGCCTGGTCAGAGCCAGGGCCACAGCCGCCAGGGCTCCAGAGGGGCTGACCGCCGGGTTGGGATGGGGTCTGCCTGCTGGCTGCTTGGGTTCTAGGGTCTGGCTTGACTACCTGTCTTTCCTGTGCCTAAGAGCACCTGCCAGGGATGAGGGGGTTTCCAGAGCTTCCATGTTTGTGCAGGACACATTCTCCCCGTGCCCCTGTCCTACAGGGACACCCGGGTGGGCACTCGAGCAGCTCAAAGGTAGAAGGGTAGCAGTCAGGCCTACTCCTCATTCCTAGTTCTGTGCTGGCCCCTTACCTGGGCACACCTTCTTCCGACAAGTGTGACCTGTGTATCTGACCTTGCTGTCCCCACGGACGCTGGTCTTGCTTTCTGGGCTCCCGGTCTCCGCTCAGTGACCTTTTGTCTGATCCACCGCATGAACTAACTTCTCACGTTCTCCCTCGGTGTGCGCTCATCTGGAAAACAGGGGTGGGAGAGGAGGTGAGGTGCGCCCGGAGTCCCCTCTGCAGCAGAGGGCTTTCCTGGGGTCCTTGGCCAGCGTCCTGGGTTCCAGCTCTCCTGCTTTTCCTGCTGGGGCTGAGATGGAGGGGCCCTGGAGGCAGAGGGGCACGTGAGGGTGCTCCAGGCAACGGGAGGACTAAGAAGCTGTCCTGGGGCCCATGGAGCTGGGGCACGTCCACACCCAGGCCTCTGTGCCTTGGCCACAGGGAGGTGCATGCGACCCCACCCCACAGCGGGAGCCCCGAGGAGATGAGGCCAGCCCCCTGCCAGAGCCTCCTGCTGGAGGCAGGACCCTCCACTCGCCAAGAGTGGTCCCCGGGCAGTGAAGCCTCCCGGGGATGTGGTCATTGGGCATCTCCTGAGTGGTCCCGGGGCAGCTGAAGCCTCCTGGGGGCGCAGTTGTCTCCTGAGTGGCCGCAGATGCTGTTTTGTTTCCAGAAGTCTCTGCTCTGCACGAATTAGACATGTCCTTTGACTGAGTCCGTGGGGCTGCCCCACACCGGGCCTGACAGGTGCCCTCCTGCTGCTGGCTGAGCCTTTCTCGCTTTCCCTCCACAGTACATCGATGCCATCAGCAACAAGCAGGGCGAGCTAGAGAATTACGTGTCCGACGGCTACAAGACCGCGCTGACGGAGGAGCGCAGACGCTTCTGCTTCCTGGTGGAGAAGCAGTGCGCTGTGGCCAAGAACTCCGCGGCGTACCACTCCAAGGTGAGGCGGCTCGGGGCTGCGCTGTGCTGGCGCTGGGCCTCGCGGGCGGAAGTGAACTAGGACCCTGCCCCAGCCCCGTGAGCACCCCAGGGCAGTGTCCGGGCTTGAACTCGTGTTTATTTCGGGTTTTCTTGGGGGGAAGTCCTAGGAGAATTACCAGGTCGCGGGGTGCAGGCATTTTGAAGACTCGCATTAGAATTGCCACCTGCAACCAGGGAGAGTCTGATGGGCTTTCAAGACCTCTTAGAACATTCATTTAAAAGAACGTTCTTGGCTCTTCTGCCACAGCCTTGTCCTGGGGAGGCACAGGCTGACAACAGGCGGGGGACGGTCATGCTCCGTGCTGGGTGCTGGGTGCACCTGGTGGGTGGCCTCTGTGTCTTCACTTGTTCCTCCTGTGGCTCCTCAATCCACAGTCCTGGGGTACAGCCTCTGGGTTCATGGCTTTGCTCACCCGAGGTGCTGAGGACTCCCAGCCCCAAGCCTGGGTCCCCAGCCACCCAAGACCACTGTGCCACTGGACCCCTAAGCCACCCAAGACAATCGTGACACTGGCCCCAGATCCAGCACCTACCACAACTTGGCTGTCCTACGTGGACCTGCCACCCCTCAGTCAACCTGAACCTGGCCTATTTCTTTGCCTCCTGGGCAGCCAGGGGCCCTGCCTGGCTCTCAGGTGGCCCCCCAGCCCCTCCAGTGCTGCTCCAGAGGGGCCTCCCTGGGACTCACACCTGGTCACAGGGTCCTCCCCTGGCTCCCAGTCTCTCTGTGACCTGCGCCTCCACCACCTCTGCCTGCACTCCTGAGCCCCTGGGATCCTAGGTCGGGCCTTGGGTGGTGGCCACATGCTGCTCCCTCATGACCTCTGAGAGACTCCTCTGCCCATCATCTGTTGAAGGTCCCTCCTTGGGCCCGTAGACTCTGTTCCCCACCCCCTGCACAGTCCTGCGGCCATGTGTTTCCTGCTAGGCATCTCCAGCCTGGTGGTTCCTTGTCGGGGAATCCTGCCCTGGGGTCCGCCATGTCCCAGGACCAAACTCGGCCCTGCTGAACCGGGAGCAAGCTCCTCAGGGAGGGGCTGCAGCAGCCCCCTCCAGGGATGTCCTGAGCCCCCATGCGAGCAAGGGGAACCCCTCCTAGGAGGCTGACGTAGCCCCCAGAGCAAGCAAGGCCCAGAGGCCAGGCTCCCCACCGGGAACAGGCAGGGCCAGCAGGCCCCTGTTCACCCACAGTCCATGAGTAGGAGTTAGGGTGGGATTAGATCTGTCCCCTGGAACATTCTGGAACATCTCAAGAGTTTAGCAGATGGAGTTCAGGAGCCAAGCCCACCAAGGGAGGGCCTGGTCATGTCTTTCTAAAATAAGGGGTCCCAGGGATCCACGGGCTATACCTTGACACTTGTTCCCCCCACCCACCACACACACATGTATGTGCATGTACATACACACACACACACGTGATATGGAACCAGTGCTCCAGTGCTCACAGCCTGGGGACAGACAGGAGACAAGTGCTCCTCCCTCCCTGGAGAGACCCCTCCTGCCGGCCTGCACCTGCTGGGCGCTGTGGGCAGGTGCAGTAAGGACAGCAGTAGCACCTGTGACCCGTGGCTGCTGGGGGACTCACTGGTGACAGGCTGTGCTGCCCCAACTGCCAGGCAGGGAGCGCTGTGGAGCGCAGGCCTCCTGCCTGCTAGACCCAGGACTGTGGCGAGCGTCTGCGCCCTCTGGCGGGGGCCAGGCCCTGTGACAGGGCCAGGGAGCCAGAGCTGTCAGTGGCCGGGGTGCTGCTTGCAGGGATGGAGGGCTGGGAAGCCAGGCTGCAGGTGCTGTTGTCTCCCAGGAGGGGTTGCGGGATGTGCCTGTGCAGTGGCAACAGCTGAGCTCCTGGGCTCGTGGGCCCCCGGGCATGTGTGGAAGAGGCTTGTGTCCCACAGACCCACGTGGACAAGCCTCTGGGCTGGGGGCCAGGGTGTGAGGGCAGCCTCCTCCCAGGGCAGTTCGTAGGAGCTCCCTGGTGGTTGGGTTTGGGCCTGCCTCGGGGCTCTCAGGGTGAAGGGGGTGACGCTGGCTTGTGGCCGCTGCGTCAGGGCCATGCTGCTGTGAGGTCGGTGGTCGGTGTCCCCTGGCCGTCAGCCCTGATGCTGGTCCCTGTTGGCCTCTCCGCGCTCCCGACAAGACTCACTCCTCTACCACTGATCTGAGCTAGGGTTCGGCGGACGTTCTGAATGACCACAGAGTTCATGCTTTTGGCTCTGTGGACCATGGAGTCTCAGCTCTGTTACTGCAGCGTGAGGGCAGTCGTGAATGAATTCACAAATAGCAGCGCAGCTGTGTTCCAGTAAAACTTTGTTTACAAAACAGGAGGCCAGCCCTCGGGCTGTGGTTTGCTGACCCCTGGTCTAAGCCAGCAGCGGAGGGGTGAGGGTGGCGTGGGTAGGACTTGCTCAGAAGGGCTGTCGTCCAGCACCCTCTGTGGGTCCCCCACGTGGGTGCCCAGCCATGTGTAACAGAATAGGGATGAGTGGGGGGATCAGTGGGGGGATCAGTGAAAGCTGGAGAGACCCCAGAGGTGCCAGAGACAGAGCAGTTCTGGCCCAGGGCTTTAGGGTCTGGGGGTCCCAGGAATCTAGGCCCTGCAGCCTGCTTAGGCCAGGAGGGGCAGGGGCTACTTGATTAGCTCCCAGGACCCAGGCCTGGTTGGCCCCTAGTCCCACAACCTTTCACCAGGCCTGTGGCTTCCTGCTTCTTTGTCCCCACTGTGCTCAGCTGGTGTGTGTCCAGCAGACTGCAGAGTAGTACATCCAAGGGAGAGCGGGCTCTTGGGCCCACGGGCAGTGGATGTGGAGCAGTGAACCTCAGTGTGTCTGACAGGGCCGCCTTCCTGCCCTTGGCAGCCAGGCTGACCCCCACTGGGCAGCACCGCCCCCTCCCCCTGGCCACCTGGGATGCCTTCCTGGCACTTTGGGGTTTGCCCACCGGGGTTTGACCTTGTGCGCCCCTGTCCGTTTCTCCTTCCTCCAGGCGCTGATGGGCCCCACGGGGGTTGGGCCTGGGTTTGCTCTCATTCCTGCAGGTCCCCTGACTGCATGACTTGTGGTCACATCCCAGGCCCTTTTCCAGCAGCCGCTTCTGTGGGTTGGGGTCAGAGGCTAACGGGTGGCCTGTCTCGCTGAGAGGCACCACCTGGTGAAGAGCAGCCTCCAGCCCCAGAGGGTGCTCAGGGAGGGCTCTCAGGGCTGTGCCCGGCTGCAGGAGCCTGAGCCAGCCCTTACCCCTCCCTTCTTGCTTCCTCCACTTCAGGGCAAGGAGCTGCTGGCACAGAAGCTGCCGCTGTGGCAACAGGCCTGCGCTGACCCCAGCAAGATCCCAGAGCGCGCCGTGCAGCTGATGCAGCAGGCAGCCAGCAATGGCGCCACCCTCCCCAGCGCCCTGTCGGCCTCCAAGTCCAATCTGGTCATTTCAGACCCCATTCCGGGGGCCAAGCCCCTGCCGGTGCCCCCTGAGCTGGCACCGTTTGTGGGGGTGAGTGTGGCCTCTGGAAAGCTTCACGGGTGTGGGTGGGTAGGGCAGCTGTTGTCGGGGTTGGGGGCGGCCAGGGTGCAGAGCCCAAGGCCCCCTGCTGAGGGGCTGGAGGTGGAGGGTTCTTTCCCCCGGTCTTGCCCGCGGTGGGCTCCAGCAACAGCCTGCTCTACCCCCTTTCCTACAGCGGATGTCTGCCCAGGACAGCACGCCCATCATGAACGGCGTCGCAGGCCCGGATGGCGAGGACTACAGCCCGTGGGCTGACCGCAAGGCTGCCCAGCCCAAATCCCTGTCTCCTCCGCAGCCTCAGAGCAAGCTCAGCGACTCCTACTCCAACACGCTCCCCGTGCGCAAGAGCGTGACCCCGAAAAACAGCTACGCCGCCAGTAAGGGTCCCTGGGTGTACCTCCCCAGACATGTCACACCCCTGAGTAGGGGACTGGGAGACCCTGAGGCTCACCAGTGTGTGGCCGTGTGTGCCTACATACGGGTGGTACACACAGATGTGCCTGCCCAGCACCCAGCTTCCTCCTGTCAGGCCTCTGGTGCTCAGTCAGGGCGTGAGTGGGGTACTGGGTTGGGTCAGGCTCGTGCAGGCAGCAGCCACTTAGGAGCAGGCAGCTGCTGCTTGGGAGAGCTTAGCCAGCCCGGGAAAGGCTCACTCGCCCACCTGGGGCACAGCACCTCAGCCAGGCTCCCTGGGCTTTGCTGCCCCGCGAGCCGGCGGCCGTCCCCTTACCTGTCCTTTGTCCCAACAGCTGAGAACAAGACTCTGCCTCGCTCGAGCTCCATGGCAGCCGGCCTGGAGCGCAACGGCCGCATGCGGGTGAAGGCCATCTTCTCCCACGCTGCCGGAGACAACAGCACCCTCCTGAGCTTCAAGGAGGGTGACCTCATTACCCTGCTGGTGCCTGAGGCCCGCGATGGCTGGCACTACGGAGAGAGTGAGAAGACCAAGATGTGAGTGTCTCTCGGGGGCGGGTTCCAGGCAGCCGCTGCCTTCAGCAAGTGTGTGGGGCGGCAACACTCAGATGCGCTGGGACCTTGTGTTTAGACTCACTGCAGGTCACAGGTCCTCACCCTAGAAAACCTGGGCAGTGAGAGCAAGCGTGACCCGGGGTCTTCACCACCAACAGGCGTCTCCTCCCCTGGCAGGGGCCTTTCCCCCAACCACTTCCCTGCAGGGGTCTCCCCCCACGGCAGGGGTCTCCTCCGACGGCAGGGGTCTCCTCCGACGGCAGGGGTCTCTCCCCACGGCAGGGGTCTCCCCCGACGGCAGGGGTCTCTCCCCACGGCAGGGGTCTCTCACCGCAGTCTAGTGACCTCCTTGCTCCATCGCCTCGATGTGCCACTCAGTTTGGTGTAGGGTGTGGCTTCCCACACTTGTACGCCCTCAGCACGTCTGGCCGAAGCCCTGTGGTGGGTGTCAGTTTCCCACAGTTCGCAGGTGCAGAGCAGGGCTTGGCCATCCTGAGACCGCAGGCTTTCTGCAGCTTTCAGCTCTTCCACATGCCAGATGTGGAAGTTTGGAGTTCTAGAAGTCACCTATGGAGTCAGATGGGCCATACCTCCCCAGTTTACTGAATGCTGTTGCAGAGAGGCTGGGCCAGGGTGCCACCCTCACTGGACCTGGGGGCTGCCTTCCCAGGGCTGTGTTTGTGGGGGTGTGTCTCTTGGCAAGATGGGAAAAGGCCCTGACATTTGTGCCTTCCTAAGCCTGGCCTTGCAGCCACCACCCTGGGGAGGGGGCCGAGGGCAGGGGGTTTCCCAGGAGGCTGCTCCATCTTTTTTCTAGTGGCCACTCCCGTCTTGGTGCCGTCCGTGGCTTAGTGTGGCACTGGGGTTGCGAGGCAGGAGCAACTGCTCTGCCTGGGCTCTGGGGCCTTGCAGTTGGGTCTGGTGGGGCCGGCAGCTCCCGCCAGATTGGGGACAGCCTGGGCCACCTTGCCCTTGAGGCCGAGCACACAGTGGGAGCAGCAGGCTCTTCCTCCAGAGACAGTGGCGCAGCCGAGCTGGGGAGCAAGAGGGACTTGTGCTTGGGTGGTGGTCGATGGGGGATGGGGAGCCACTGCCCCCACCCGGGGCCTCCGGGCTGAGCGTGGCTCTTAGCTGGGGCCTCTCTTCCAGGCGGGGCTGGTTTCCCTTCTCCTACACCCGGGTCCTGGACAGCGACGGCAGTGACAGGCTGCATATGAGGTGAGCGCTGGGCCCAATGGGAGTGCTAGATCCCCAGCTCTGGGGAGGGGCTGCGATGGCACCAGCAGGTCCCTGGGCTTGGAAAGCTGGGATGGGCTTCTGGCTCCTTGTCTGCTACTGCGGGGCCATCCCCAGTGGCCCTGAGAGCTGGGCGCTTGAGGCCCTCAGGGTGGAAGCATGGTGGTACCCTGTACGGTGGGGCCCGAGAGCCCTGGGGACACCAGTGCAGGCAGCAGGTGCTGTGGGGGCAGCACCTGGGGGCCAGGTGTGCAAGGACCTGGCTGTCCCAGGTCCTCCAGGTTCTCCCAGCCTTCAGGGAATCGCAGTAGCTGAAAGCCGGCGGGGTGCATGGCGCTGGGAGGGTTGGGGTTGCTGTGGCAGCCCAGCCCCTGTGGAATCTTCCTGACTCACTTTCATGGCCAGGAGGAGGGAGGGAGGCCAGACTGGCCTGGCCCATGGTCACCAGGGCTGCAGCCTTGGCCTGAGAGCAGTTTCCCGCATGTGGCGTGGGGTAGGTGAGGGTGGGCCGTCCAGGGAGCCCACAGGGTTGTGGGGTGTTGGGGGTGTCCGGCCTGCTGGGCCATCTCTGAGTCCCTGTCCCTGCAGCCTGCAGCAAGGGAAGAGCAGCAGCACCGGCAACCTCCTGGACAAGGACGACCTGGCCATCCCGCCCCCCGACTACGGCGCCGCCTCCCGGGCCTTCCCCGCCCAGACGACCAGCGGCTTCAAGCAGAGGCCCTACAGTGTGGCTGTGCCCGCCTTCTCCCAGGTCAGCGGGCGGGCCTGGGCTAGGAGGGCCCGCAGGTGGAACAGTGGGTTCAGCCTGCCGTCCCACATTGGAGCCTCTGCTGAGGGGCCAGGCGCCCGCGGGTCTGGGTGTCTTTGGACAGGCCTGGGGTGAAGGCTCCGTGATTTAGGAATGTGTGCACACCCCTGCTTCGGCCACAGGCTGCTCGCCTCGCCCCAGCAGGCTCCCTGTGTTGGCACGCTGGGGTGGGGTGGGGTGGGGTGGGGTGGGGTGGGGTGGGGTGGGCCCGTCCCTCATGGTGCCCTCAGCCAGCCATGGGCAGCTCACTGCTCTGCCCAAGGGGGCAGCGTCTGGGCTGGGAAGTGGCTGGCCTAGAGGTGGGCCTGGACCCGGTCACCTTCTGGGAGAGCCAGGGGGTTAGGATCCCTTCCATGAGAACCACGGGGCTCCCTCAGTCATACCCATGTGGTGGGAGTGCTTGCTGCTCAGCCCTGGCACGTGGCTGGACGCTTCCAGTCAGCGTGACCCTGGATGTGGGCCCTCTGGTGCCAGGAGGCCAGAGCTGGAGGATCAGGGCCTGGGTCCTAGGCCCTGGTGTGTGTCCTCGGAAGCCCAGGATCATGGCGGTCCTGGTGTCCAGGCTGGGACAGGATGTGAGCGTGCGTGGTAGCTTGCCAGGTCCCAGCCCGCCCGTCGGGGGAGGCTCCTGGAGTTGGAGGGCTGGAGACCCCTGTCGGCCCGGGGCTTCTCGGCTGTGGGTCGTTTGTGGGATGCTGGCTGGGCTAGCAGCTGTTCCCAGGGCCGGTCTCCAGGGTTGGGCCTCAGGCAGTGGGTAGAGAGAAGAGAACCCACCTTTTTCTGAGATAACGGGCAGCCTGGGTGACTGCTCAGCTATCGACCCACAAGTGAGGGGCCCCCAGGTTGATAGCCTAAGCTGAGGCCGCAGGATGCGACCTGGAGAGGTTCGGGCTCTGGGCCGTGGGTGTTCCACAGGTCGGCCTCTGGGGTGGACTCAGTGCTGGGAGAGCCAAGGGAGGGGTCTGCACCTGCCCTAGGCCCCAGGCCAGGCCATGCTGGCAGATAAAGGGCGCAGCCAGCCCCAGCACCACACCTGGGCTCTCCTCCCAGGCAGTGTCACCCTCCCACGGGCCGGGATGGTACATGTGACAAGTTTCCAGGAAACTAGCTGGGGTCTGGGCCCAGGTCCCATGGGTGGGCGGAGGGGTCCCAGGGGCCCGCCCAGGCATGGGTGAGGTGCTGCAGGTGCCCTGCGGGGGCCTCGGCTCCCTGGGGGCGGGCGGAGGGTCCCAGGAGGCCGGTCTTGCGTGTGTTTGGGAGTGTGCAACAAGCCTACAAATTCAGGTGGCCGCTGGCTGGAGGAGGCATCCCCATTGATTTGGGCAATCATCACTTTACCACTGGAACCGGGGCTCCAGGCAGGCCTCTGAGTGCAGCAGCCAGGAGATGGGGAGCCTTCCGAGGGAACACGGTTTGAACCCTGCCCAGGCAGGATCACCGTTTGTGGGTGACCACAGGCCCCGTCACCTGGCCTGACGTGTTTCCGCCTCTCCCTCCAGGGCCTGGATGACTATGGAGCGCGGTCCATGAGCAGGTAAGGGGCTTTCAGACCTGTCTTTGGGACCGTGGGTGGGTGTGAAGAGGCTGGGTGGGGCAGGTCCCTCTCCTAGGACCTGGGGCCACCTCTTCTTCCTTTAGGGCCCAGCCTGGCCCTTCACCCCTGCCAGAGCCAGGGACGTCCCCCAGGGCCTCCTGCTCTCTCGGAGTGACACGGAAACCCCCCTGGGCCCTGCCCCTCTTTCATCGCATCTGGCTGGCCCCATCCATCCCTGTCAGGCAAAGGCAAGGTTGGGGAGGGTGGCTGAGGCCGGCATCCGTGGCTGGGGCTGCAGCCTCCTCTGCCCCCAGCCCGCCCCACCCCTGCCCCCAGCCTGCCCCACCCCTGCCCCCAGCCTGCCCCACCCCTGTCCTTTGCCTTCCTGGAGGGCCAGGAGGCCAACGGGAGCTGCTGAAAGGGGCGTTGCTTGGTGCGGGCAGACTCGCTGCCTGTGGCTGGGCAGCATTGTGCAGCCAGGCAGCCGTCCTGTGCTTTGTTTCGCAGTGGCAGCGGCACGCTGGTGTCCACAGTGTGAGGACGCTGACCCCGGGCAGCCGCTGCTCTGAAGAGCTTCCGCGCCTTCCCCCTGGTCTCCGTCCGTTTTCCTCCTCAGCTCTCGCTGGTTTGTTCCTGGGTTTTCTTTTCCACCTGCCCCTGCCTTTTGGTTGGTGACCCCAGACTCTGTGATCCCCCAGGGTCCATGGTGCTGCTCCATCCGCCTCCCCCCCCCAGTGTTTACGCGCCCCACCCTGTGTGTCCCAGCCTTTCGAGCAGAAACTGCCAGGCAGGACCTGCTGGGCCGTGCGGGGGCACCCTCGGCCCCACCCTGCAGTGTCTGTGGCACTCACTGCTTTTCTAAGGCTCGCCGTGAGCCAGGTCTAAAGTTTGGAGAAAAAGAAAAATCTTTAAAAAAAAAAAAGCAAAAAACAAAAAACAGGAAAAAGGACTTTTTTTTTTCCTGAAAAACAAAAACCGATCTGCATGGACTCCGGTGTGCGCTGTTATCTCGCATCCGACTTTCCCAGCGCAAAGGCCTCTGTCCAGACAGGGAAGGTGCTGGGGTCCCTGGTCACCCCGGACCCTGTGGAGGGCTGCACAGAGAAAGGGGGCTCGTGCCAAGCTCGAGGGGCCTCCTGAGGAAGCCGGCCGCTCCTGTGAGGGAGGCCGGGCCCGGGCACCTGAGGGCTTCTCCCTCCGGACGCTGCGGGCCAAGTGTACATAGAGCAGCGTGGCAGAGTGGCCTCGCCTCCCGTCGGGCACCGGCAGGAGCAAGGTCGGGGGCAGGCGCTGCCCGGCTGGCCGCACACGGACACTCCAAAGACCTCCAGCGACCACCCCACCCCCACATTCCTTTGACCAGCCTTGTGAGGGCATCAAGGCTGCCCCGGGCTACCTGGCTGCTCGGGGCAGGGTGTGTGGGCCAGGCCCGGCCGGGGGAGGGCAGCTCTGGGCACGTCGCACCCACACCCCCCACCTGGGGGAGACAGGCGGTTCCTGCCTGGTTCTTCCTAAACGCTCTCGTCTTTTTGTGTGTCTTGGTGACTTTAGAAACAAACACAGTGGACTCAGTGGCTACTGGTATTCTCTTCACACACTGAACTCTGGGGAATTGAGTGCAGGGCACAGCCCGGCTCAGCCTGCCTGCTGGTGGGGGCCCCTGGGAAGCTGCGACGCTCCTTTATCTGATGTGGTTTAGCAAAAGCCTCCCGCACACCTCCCCGTGGCCTGGGGTGTGGCCTGGTTTGTGTGGGAAGCAGCTCCAGACGCGGACCGCCTGAGGTTAAGGGGAACTCGAGGGCGGACCGGGCCCTATGTAGAGACCCCTCTGCGCCGGCGTTCCCGCTCTGCTAAAGATTTCAAATCCAGGGGATTCCATGCTCAATGGATGAATGTAGACACAAAACAGCAACACTTGTATGAAGATGTAAAGTGCTGAACATATTTTTTTCCTGTTTCCTTTCCTTTTTTAAAAAATCTGAATTGTGCCCTGTACTGCAGTTACTTGTTGGAATAAAAGTTTTATTTATTGCACGAGTTGGGTATGGACCTCCTTCCGGTTCCCGGCGTGCGTCTGGGCCGTGGGGGCCCCGCCTCGTGCCTGCCTCTGCCAGGTATTTTCTTGGCACTCAGTCGCCTGCTAGATCACCTGGGCTTGCACAGAGTGCTGGCCCAGTGACAGTCACTCACTGTGCCGGGGCTCTGCGGGGGCCCCGCCGCCCCAGGGGAAAGTGCGGGGCCACCTGCGGCTGAGGCAGGCTTCTGGCTCTCTCCAGGCCGGCAAGTGAGGCCGGGTCCGCAGGCGCCGTCCAGGGAGAGCCAGAGCCCCAGCTCTGTGCCGACTCCCAAGTGCTCCAGGGTTCTCGGTCTCCTGGCAGCTCGCCCGTGGTTCCCCCTCCTCTGCAACCCCGAGTCCTCCGACCTCATGCTGCCTCCAACTGAGCCTTGTGTTTCCTTGCAGCGCCGATGTGGAAGTGGCCAGATTCTGAGCCGCCTGACTAGAGTTAGTAAGTTACCTGGCGTTCTTGTGCGGTCACTAGCCAGTGGGTCTACACAGGTCCTCTGGCCTCAGCCACGCAGCCTGGGTGGGGAGGGCCTGGCTGCATGGCAGGGCCAGGGGTCCACTGAGCCTGCCTCTTGCTCTGGGTGCTGGGCCTTCTCTACTGGGTCCCCTCCTTGGGTTCACAGTCTCCTCCCCTCCTGGAAGCTTGTGGACTCTGGCTGGCTGTGCCCGGGGCTCCCCTCACTGCTGGGTATGGCTCTGGCCCTGACCTTCTTTGGGGTCCTCTCCTGCCCTGCTGGGCACTTCAGTTATAGTCAAGGGGTGACCCCGGCAAGCAGCTGCAGCCTGGGCCTTTCCCGCCTGACTTGCAGCGCCAGCTTGGGCTCCTTCGGGTGTGTGTGCCTTTGGGGCTGGTAAGGATGACAGCCTCGTGGAGACTGGCGGCTGGGGTCCTGGCGAGAGCCCCGGGGAGTTCATAGGCACTGGAGCCAGGTGTTGGGCCCACTGGCGATGGGGCTGTGCTGTTAGTCTGACCTTGCCTCTTCTGTCCCCCAAGCCCCACAGCATGGACCCAACTGGCTCCATCCCAAGTGTGCACCTGCAGACCCGGAAGACTGCTGGGTCCAGGTTTGAGCTGACGCTCACTCCGGGGACCACAGGGCCACTATGGCTCCAACTCCAGTGAGACTCTGGAGTCCGGGTCTGAGCCCATCTCCTCGCGGGTTGAGTGGGCCACTTCCCTGGTGCCCAGTGTATATTTAGGATGTGCCAGGCTGCCCAGGAGCAGGCCCTGTGCCCTCATAGGGGGCCCTTACCCACACCTTCCAATCCACTGCACCTGTGTCTGGGCGGGTCCTGCTTCCCACCACCCTCCCATCCCTAAGTTGCTAGGAGGGTGGCTCTGCAAAGCCAGTGCCTGCATCCTTCACAAAGGACGTTGGTCCCTGTGTCTCCCTGGTGGTCGCAGCAGGCATCCTGGCCCATGGGCAGCCAAGCCACAGGCAGATCACGGATCTGTCTTCTTTGCTGCCTTTCTGTTGTTGATATTCGGCATGAATTCTGGAAGGTTCTGTAGAAAAATGCTCCTGAACTTTGGGGACTGGATAGCATAGATGCTCTGGGTTGGCCCTGGCCGCCACCTTGCCTTCCACCTCCATCTTTCTCCCTTCTGAGACGCTGTTTCTGGGAGACCTCCATACCCCCACTCCCTCAGGTCCCTCTGAGCGAGGGGGCTGCCCTCACCTGGTGAGACTTGGAAGGGGTGAAGGCTCAGAGATGAGGCTGGCACAGCCTGTGTCAGGGACCACGTCCCTTGGTGGAGGGCAGAGACCCTGGGTGGCAGTGTCAGTGGGGCGGTGGCACTCAGCACCACTCCACAGCGCCAGGGGCCAGTTTCCTGGCCACATAGTCTGCCTGGTCTGACAACTCAGCTGAGATTGGGGGTGTCGAAAGCCACTTGCAGTTGGTCAAGGGACTCCCCAACCCCATCGCCACCCTGCCATGCCCCAGCTTTGGGCCCTGAGAAGGGGGCCTTGGAATGAGAGTGGAGGGGGGAGCACCCCTGGCCACTGTCCATACTTGTCAGCGGAGGCCCAAGCGCCCACGCTGGACGCGGTTCCAGAAGGGCCCACCTTCCGAAGACACGGAGAAGCAGCTGACGCGAGAAGACAGAACAGGTGTTGTCCGCCCGGCTCAGGGTCTGAAGTCTGGAGTCGCCTAACTGGTCAAAACGCGCTTTGTGACAGCTGTTTCTTCTCGGAATCCTTCTGCCTCACGTTCAAGGCGTTGGTTCAGGAAATGATCCTAGACGACTGCCTGCATTCCGAGGCGCTCCCGAGTTCCGTGGCGCTGGAGTGGGAAGCTGCTCTGCCGCGGGGAGGTGGACTCTTCCAGGCCGTGTGGGTTTGCAGGGGTGGTGGGCACGGGATCCCCAGGACACACCGAGAGCCCCCCGTGGGCAGGGGAGGGGTGCCCAGTCCCTCAAACCCCAAGAGGCCCCCTGGCCAGCTCCTTCCTGGCAGAAGTGCCCATGCCCAGCCCTCCTGGCCACAGCTGGCTCTGCAGCACTGGCATCCATGCCTTGAAGCGGCCAGTTGGCTGGGACCGTGGCCCACGCCTGTAATCCCAGCACTTTGGGAGGCTGAGGCGAGAGGATCTCTTGAGCCCAGGAGTTTGAGATAAGCCTGGGCAACATAGGGAGACCCCGATCTTGACAAAAGTAAAAATTAGCCAGGCATGGTGGCGCACGTCTGTAGTCCCAGCTTCTCAGGAGGCTGAGGTGGGAGGATTGCTTGAGCCCGGAGGTGGAGGTTGCAGTGAGCTACAGTCACACCACTGCATTCCAGCCCAGAAGACGGAGCCAGACCCTGTCTCAAAATAATAATGCAATTTAAAAATTACAAAAGCCACTAGGTCACCCCTGCGGCCTTGCTTAGCAGCCTCTGAGGGGCGGCTCTCAGTGAGGAGACAGAGCCCAGGCCTCTGAACTCCCCAAACCAGCAGCTCCCCAAACATGACGCAGGCCCTCCTTGGGGCCCTCTGCTCTTGGACCTGTCTGGTGACTTTCCTTCGCTGGCTGGAGAGGTGCTGGTGGTGTCACTGGGTCCTGCAGGAGGTGGGGCCTGGCGTGTGTCCTCTGGCAGGGAGCAATGTCTGTGGCTTCCACGCGGTGACCTTGGGCTCCAAACTTCGTCACATTCTGTTGGCTGTTAGGCCCCCACTCTCAGCACAGTGAGCTCCCTGCAGGCCTCCTGGGCGCGTCTGTCCCAGGCGGCTGAGGGGTAGGGGCCAGAGTGGGGGAAATGGGGCCGCCCAGCCTCTCCGCGTGGACCTGCTTTCCCCGCCAGCCTTGGGCTCTGGCCTGTGCTCTCCCCGTCCCCACCAACCCGCTGCCCCTGTCAGGCTGAGATTGGATACAGCATTTGCAGCCTCAGAGCCACCCAGTGTGGATGGTTCAGCGGGCTCCACCTAGTCCCACCATTCTGGGAGACGAGAAGAGAAAATTGCAGGTTAGGGAACAGGCCCGCACCGGTAGGAGAGCTTCCTACCCCTGCAGCTCCCCGTGGGGTCTGGGCTAGCACTGTGCCTTTGCCTTTGATTGGGAGCAGGAGTGAGAACCACGCAGCTGTGCTGCCCTCGGCTGTGGCTCACTACTGCCTCGACCTCCTGGGTTCAAGCGATCCCCCCACTTCAGCCCCCCATGTTGCTGGGACCACAGGCATGCTCCACTCCCACGCCTGGCCTTTTTTTTTTTTTTCTTTTTGAGACGGGTCCACTTTGCTGCCCAGGCTGGTCTTGAACTCCAGGGCTCAAGTGGTTCCTCCTGCTTTGGCCTCCCAGAGTGCTGCGATTGCAGGCAGGAGCCACCGCGCCCAGCCAGCCCCATTTCTAATCTCCCCGGAGCTCCCTCCAGACCCTGGGCCTGTGGAGGGACTCAGAGCACTTCCCTAGGAGTGGGTCTAGCCTGGCAGGGAGACAGGGCATGGGCCGACATCACGGATAGAGGTGGAATCCTCACCATCGGACCCCCAGGCAGCCCCTTCCCAGGCCCCATGAAGGGCAAAGCTGCACAGATCAAAGCTGAAAGAAGCCGGGAATCCAGCAGACCCTGAGGCTCCAGTGCATTTGAGAGATCAAAAGATCCTTTCAGCAGGGTGCCAATGCTCAGACACCATCTGGAAGGCTAAGACCCATCAGTCTCTTCCACATATTTCATTCTCTTAAAAACTCAGTCTGAAGTGTTTCAGGTTCTTAGAAAACACAAAAGTCCTCAGGAAAGCTTAGGGAGGTGCCCCTGCCCTGCGCCGCCTCCTGGGCAGCTGGATGGAGCCCTGTCTGCCCACCCCGGGGGTTGCTCCCGGCTGCCCAGGCTCCTGTGGACCCAACTGCGCCAGAGGTGACTCCGCTCCAGGTAATGGCTCCAGTCCAAGCACAGCTCTGCCGGAGCACAGTCCCGTCCCTGCTGCGTCTTAACGTCCACATGCCATCTGTACTGTCACCCTTGGAGCTGCCTGACATCCCCCATCCTGTCCTGTGCCGCCCCCTCTGAAGGTGGGGACTCCAAAGAGAAAGGCCCAGGCTCCCCTCTCGTCCATAGGGTCCTTCTCATCCGTGCTCATCTTGTTCCATTTCAAATTCTTGTCTCGAGTCGTATTTGTGCATCAGCTGTGGCCCCGGGGACATGGGGGAGGGCGCGGCACCCCCGGGGGGACAGGTGGCTGAGCCCTTAGCAGGGGAACAACTGTCTGGCCAGGGGATGGCCAGCTGCTCTGCAGGGCCCGTGGGTGTCCATCTGCAGCCCTGAGGGAGCCGCGAGCCTAACCTGCCTTCCTGTGGATGCCCCCATGCCAGGGCTGGGCTGGGCGCTCTGCCAAGCTGTGTCCCTGGGTGTGGGCCTGGCCTGGTGGGGGGCCACCAAACTGATGTGTGCCCGGTTCAGGGCTGTCTTGAGTCCCCAGCCTCAGTGGTGATGTCCACCCCTCACTGGGAGGGTGCGGCTGCCCTGCCCACCCACGCTGCTGGGAGGGTGATGGATCAGAGTGGGGGCACCCTGCCTTGTCTAGGTCACGTAGGGTGAGCAGAGGGTGGTGCACCTTGGGGTCAGGCAGCCTTGCAGATGGCACCTGACCCTCCCTGCCCCCCAGAGCAGCCTCTGTTGTCTGCGAGCTCTCTGTGCCCTGAGATCGGACTGTAGGCATCCAGCACTGGGGATCCCTGGGGCATTGGGCAGCCCAGGTGCCACAATTTACCCATGGCTTCTGCCCTAAATTAAAACCACGTTTTTCTCTTTCAGGAATCCCTTCGCCCATGTCCAGCTGAAGCCGACAGTGACCAACGACAGGTCTGCCCCTCTCCTCAGCTGATGGCCACATCTGCGGCGCTGCCCATCCGGCGGCTTCCCCCGCTCTGCCCATGCAGCCTGTTCTGTCATCCTCTGTGCGTTTCTGTTAAGAGAACATCCAGGCCCCAGATGCCTGGCCTTGCCCCACTTGAGTCTGGCCTGGGCTGGATCCCAGCTGTTCTGGGCAGGGCTGGGCACAGGGGGGTGCAGGCCCCTGAAGGGCCGAGACCCACTGGCTGCGCTGCCCGGGGCCGAGGGACCACCTCTTGAGGGTATACACCTCTGGTCACATGGCCATGGAGCCCTTGGGTGCCCCTGGGTCAAGGGAGGACATGTGGCCAGCTGGTGGCTGGGAGGGGAGCCCGGCTGCCCTGCTGCTTCTCCTGCCTAATAAACAGGCTCCTTCTGCACCAGGTGTGATCTGTCCACCCAAGGGCCAGAAGGCCGGGAGCATGGGGATGGGAGCGCCCGCATCCTGGCTGGAAGATGAACTTCCCATAAGCACGTCATTCCCTGCACGCCCGGCAGGTGCGCCTGGAGTGTGGGGCCTGGTCCCTCTCCATGCCCCTCAGTGGGGCTCTCCTGGACCCCTCACTCCCACTGGCAGTGTCGCGAGGGCCTCCCCAGCCTCCTCCCTACCCAGCCTCCCATCCAGAACCTTGCTGCTAGGGCCGCCCAGCTCTCTCCTGTGGCCAAAGGCCAGCTGTCAGGTGCTGTGCGGGGTCACCAGCAGGGTACCTGCTGGCAGGTGGGGGCTTCCCCGCTCCTGGGCTCTGTCCCAGGACTCCTGGGGGGACCTCGCCCACCCCCACTCACTCCTGCAGGCACTGGGGAACTCTGCTGGAGTTGGGGGTTTTAAAACTTCATTAGCAGATCTGTGTTCTTCGATACTGTCAGGTGCAATACAATGTGGTGAGAGCTGCATTGGTGACAGCAGCCCTTGCCTGGGGAGGAGTCTCCAGCAGAGCCCGCTCCCGCCTGCAGCCACTCACAGCCCGGGGACAGGAAGCTGCAGAGTTGGCAGGTCAGGAGGGCAGTTGAGAGCTGGCCAGCAGAGGGTGCAGGGGAGCCCAGCTGTGCTCAACTCTCCTGACTCCGCCTTCCACCCTGGGCCCAGGGACAGACAGTGCCCTCAGAAGGGCAGGGAGGAGGCTGTCCTGGAGGGGCCTGTAGGTCCACTCTCTTCACCCGTCCCCACCAGGCCAACTCGGCCTGCAGGAAGGGAGACCTGCAGGGATCTGCCCCTGCGCCCCCAGACACAGTAGGGCCAGAACACCATCCCCTCCACCAGGGTGTGCCAAGGGCAGTGGGGAAGAGAGGGGCAGCTTCCTCTTGGCCCCAGGAAGGGGTGGCATCGGGTTCCTACCCCAGCCACGGCACAGCCCCTCCTGTCCAGGACTTTATCGGCAGACCTCAGGAGACAACACACAAAGGTTTCCACACAAAGGTTTCTTTTTTTCTTAGCTTCATTTCTCTTAAAAAACAAGGAACAAGAAAACATTGCACCAGCGTTCTAAGCCTCAAACAAAACACAAAACAAATCCCTCTGCAAAGCAACAATAAACTTTACATCTCTTTGGCAACAATAACTTAAAGTCACCCCACTTTCATTCGCTCCAACCACAGCAGTTACAAAAATATTCCCTGCGCTGCCCTGCCCCCAGCTCCACCCCTTCCCCACCATCTCTCTCCCTGTAGGCAGGAGCCCCCCAACACTGACTGCGGGGTATGGCCCCCACTCTCCTTTCGCAGCTGGGGCACAGGACCGGATAGTGCCCTGCAGAGGGGAGCTGCCTGCACGGTCCTGCCAAGGGCACCTCTAGAACGGGGCCCACGGCGGCAGGAGTGCAGCCTGGAAGCCCCCTCCACCCCTGATCTTTTTGGCTGCCCACCGTGGCCACAGCAGGACCCAGGTGGGAACAGCCCATTTCCTGTGGGAAGGGTGGGCTTACCGGTCTAGCTGAGTCAGTGAAGGGGAAACAGCCACAGACTTTGAGATAAGGGCAGAGGAAACAGGACTGACACAGGCGCCCAGGGCCGCTCCTTGCCCTGAGCCACCAGGAGCCAGGCAAGGATGGGGGCACGGGGTGGGAGGCGGCTCACAAGCCTGCCAGTGTCTCGGGGCCATGCCTTGTCCTGTGTCAAGTGTCCTGTGAGGACACCGGAGGAGCCACCAGATGGGGCATGTGGGACCTCCGAGGCCAGGCAGCCGGCAGCGGCAGGCAGAGCAGAGGGCAGGGGCCGCCGTGCCCAGGGGCACCGGCCCCTCGAGTGTGTGTGTACAGACATCCACTGGAACTCCAGGCGTCCCCAGGGGCTAGCAGCAAACCCAGAAGCCCAAATTCTGCCTCCGGGGCGGAGCATGGCCAATCCACTGTCCAGGGCCTCTCATCCTGCGGGCTTTTCCAGGACACCATGTGGGGCAGAGACACCCGAATCTGCTGCCAACAGCCACCAGGACACGGTCCCCACCTTCTCGGTCACCATCCTCGCTGCTGCCTGGCAGGGGCTCTGGTGATGCCAGCCTCGAGGAGCAGGAGCTGCCCTGGTCTCAAGCCTCTTTACTCTCACCCCCGGCACCTGCTGCAGGCCCTGGCAAGCAGGACGACAAAGTGAACACAGGGTCCTAAGACACCACGGCCTGCCTCCCCCACAACTCCCACCTGGCCTCTATCCCTGGCCCACATACAGGCCGGGCCAGTAGGGGCTGTGGGACAGCCCGGGCCCCTTCCCTGCAGCAGATCTGGCTGTGTGTAGGTAGGAGATGGACCCATTTCTCCCACTCCTGCATCACTAGACCCAGGCCAACAAGGCTCGGCAAATGCCTCCAAGTCCTCTTTTACACACAGGGAAACTGAGGCCTGAACAGGAAGGGGATGGCCAGGGTCATGTAGTGGCCTCCTAGTGACCTGCGTGCTTGTTCTGCCACGCAGGGGGCACCCTGCGTCAGGGGTGAGGCTGACAGGCCCTTCCCCCAAGGCACAGGCCAGGACACCTAGGAAATAATGGGTCTACCGAGGGGAGGGGAGAGATGGCAGGGGGCCTTCGAGGAGGTGGGCACTTGTCAGGCACGTGGGCAGGGGCTGTAGGGGTAGGGACAGCTGGCAGAGATGAGCCCAGCCTGGGATGGGGCGGACACTGGAGGGGCATGGCCGGGAGTGATGGCTTAGGCCCCCAGCAGGGCTGCACCTGGGCACTGTGGGGCGTCGGTCTGCAGGCGCTGGTAAGATTCTGGTGGGAGGGGCTGCCGCAGGTCTGGGGGGTAGGGTCAGGCAAAGGAGACCCGGGTGCAGGGAGAAGGCAGCGGCCTGAGGGCCAGGTGGGGTCCAGGCTAGGTCTGGGGCCGGGAAGGGGTGGGGTGGGGTGGGGCGGGCCTGGCCCGGCAAGGACCTAGACGGAGGGGCCCCACCCTCGGAGCTCCGTCCCTGCCTTGCACGGGCCTCACCTCTCACGGACTCAGCGTCTGAATCAGACACGTGCGTGATGGAGAAGCGGGATGTGGGCGCGGGCGACACCGTGAAGCGCGAGAAGGGAGCGGGCGTGGGCGCAGCCGGGGCGGGAGCGGCCGGGTCCAGGGCCATGGCGAAGGCTGCCTTGGCCTGCATCAGCGGGAAGTCGTCGTCCCACGCAAACCCGCCACCTGCAACCCAGGTGACGATGTCACTCGCACTCACAGCCTGGGACCCCGGGCCGCCCTGCTCCCACAGTCATGGGCCTGGCCCCGCCTCCCATGATGTCACGGGCCCAGGCCCCACCTCCCATGCAGCGCGCACCAGGCCCCGCCCCCAATGACGTCACATACCAAAGCGGCCTCCCATGACGCCACGGGCCAAAGCCCGCCTCCCACACGTCAAGGGCCAGGTGCTCCTCCCATGATGTCACACATTAGGCCCCGCCTCCCACAAGGCACGGACCAGGCCCCACCTCCCGTGACATCATGGGCCCGGCCCCGCCCCGGCTCACCCTCTTTCGCAGTGGAGCCATCTGGGGAGCCATCAGCCTGCCGCGGCGGGCTGGGGGCGCTGGGAGAGCTGGGGCTCCGCATAAGGAACGTGGGGGGCGACTCCTTAGCACCCGGGAAGGGCTCCCCGAGCTCCCGGGTGGGGCTTTCCTGGAGGGATCAGAGAGCACCAGGTGGCTTGGCCGCCAGGAGTCGCGGCCGCTCCCACCCCTTCCTGCGGGAGCGCGACCCGCAGCCCCGAGCAGACACCGGTCGGCAGTGGCCCACCTGGTCGAAGAGGTAGACGGTGACGTCGTCGAAGAAGGACACGGCCTTCTTCTTGCGTTCCAGGTCCTCGCAGAAGGCCTCGGACAGCAGGCTGGGCATCTTGAGCAGGCTGCGCAGGTTGCGCGCGCTCTGGCTCTCAGCCACCACCACGGGCACCGCCGGCGCCTCCTCCTCGCTGTCGTCGCTAGGCTCCTGGACGCTGTAGCAGCGGAGCTCCTCGTCAGACTCGTCGCTGTCCTCACTGTCCTCCTCCTCCTCCTCCGGCCGGCCCTCCAAGGCCGCAGGGAGGCCAGGCAGAGCCAGGCGGAGTGGGGCTCGGGGGGTGCCTGGGCCCGCCATCCGCTTTTGTGGAGTCAGCCCTGACAACAGTCCTGTGGGCCCCTGGAGCTCAGAGCTGTTGCCTTCTGAGCTCAGCGGAACCGGGGTCAGCAGGAAAAACTGGGAGCAGCTGGGGCTGGGCCCAGGCGGCACCTCGGCTGGGCCTTGGGGCTCTGGAGGCTCTGGGACCAGGCCCGAGGGGCAGGTGCTGGGGTCTGGGGAGGACCCTTCAAGCCGCAGCGGTGGGGGCAGCACCTCCCCGGGGCCTGAGCCTTGTGCCTCCCCAGGAACCCCAGGCCTGAGGGAGGCCTGTGCAGATGGCTGCCCAGTGCTCGGCAGGCCCAGCTCTGGCCCAGGACCTTGGTCCCCGCCACACTTCTCTGGGCCCGAGGTGGGCTCGGCCTCAGTCTCCAGGTCTGAGAAGTACGCAGAGTCTCGGTAGGGGTTCTTCTCGTTGAGGCCACTGAGGGAGGCAGAGAGCCGCCTCTCGGGCCCGGGGCCCTCTCCCTCTGAGGTCAGCTCCCCAAAGGCCTGGGGCTCGCACCCTTCCTGTGACTCCTTGAGCACAAACTCGGGGGACTCATAGTTCTCCGTGTCATAGCCACTGTCCAGTGCTCGGGGCTGCCCTCCAGAGGGGCCAGCGGCCGACGGGCTGAAGACCTCATAGCCACCATCACTGGCTGAGGACGGGATGTCCAGGGAGTCCAGGGAGTCGGGAGTCCCCACCTGCTTCTGCAGAGAGCGGAAGGCTGGCACCACATCCGGCCTCTCGGCCTGCAGGCCGTCACTGGACGTGTCAGTGAAGATGCCTGAGGTGGCCTCAGCTGTGTCCTCATCCTCACTGCTGGGTGCCTCCACCTCAGGGGAGCTGCCACCACCATTCAGGGTGGAAGCCGGCTTGGTGGCAGACACCTCGCCACCAGCAGCAGGCGTGGGCGAGTCAGGCAGGGCGTCAGGGGCATCGGGGGCACTGGCCTCCTCTGAGGGAAGTGGGGCTCCCTCCTGGGATGGGGAGGGGACAGAAGGAAGGGACAGGCAGGGTCCGGCAGTGCCCTCAGCCTCCGTGGCAAGCTTGGGCTCTGCCTGCAGGTGGTCACCCCCACTACCAGGTGCCTCTGTCCAGGAGGGTGTGACCAGGCAGGGGGCAGGTGCCAGGCCCTGGGCAGGGCATAGATGGGGGAGGCCGGGACAGCAGCCTGGCTCCTGGGCAGAGGAGGCTGCCTGCAGCCCAAGCAGAGACTCCCCGGGGTATGCCGGCTCAGGGGAGGCCCGCGGGGTCTGCTTCGGACTGCAGCAGCCATCAGCGTGGTAGCCCACAGAGCTGGGGTCCCAGGACTCTGGACAGCGGCTGCCACTGTTGTTATTGGCAGATACGTTGGAGCGCCAGTGTCCACGCTGGGCGGCCGTCCGCGCTCCCACCTCCTCCAGTTCCTCCTCACCAGTCAGCGGCAGCGGCGGCGCCCCTGAGCTTCCCAAGGGGGATGTGCCCAGTGGGTCCTCAAAGAAGGGCGAACAGAAGGCGGCCACGCCCCAGTCTGCATCCTTGGCTCTGCCCTCCGCCAGCCTCATGGGCCCCGCAGAGGGCGAGGGCGAGGGCGAGCGTGAGGGGCAGAGCTGGTCCCGCACCAAGCTTCCGCGAGGGTAGAGGTCGCCGCGGCCCCAGGGGATGTCGGCGGGTGGCCCGTGGCCCAGCAGCGGCTCCATGGCCAGCGAGGCAGCGGTGCTGCCGTCAGAGTCCTCGTCCTGGTCTGCGATGGCAGGTGAACTGGGGGCGCAGCCGGCGCAGTCGGGGTCGTGGCCGGCGGCGGGCGTGGCCTCCTCTAGGCGGATGAAATACTCGCTGCCCAGCGAGGGGCTGTGCGCGCTGAGCACCGGAACCACGCCGGGGGGCGCGCCGTCGGGGGCACACAGCTCCGGCAGGCGCGCGGGGCGGTCCGGACTGAGCGTGGCGGGGAAGGCCTCCGCGCCGCGGCCCGCCTCCCACTTGTACTCAAAGTTGAGGCCTCGGCTGGTCTCGGTCACCGTCAGCACGTCGTCACCATCCGCGTGGAAGCCGTCGCCCGCGAACTGCTCCAGCAGCGGGAAGGACGAGGCGGCGGCGAGCTCCACCACCCCGCCCAGCGTGGGCCCTGCCGCACCGGGCCCAGGACCCACGCCGCCCCCGCCGGGCCGCAGAGAGCGCCAGCGCCGCTCAAACTCCTCCTCTGCTTCGGTGGCGCCCTTGGCACACAGGTAGGACAGCAGCAGGTGCACCTCCTCAGCTGTGGGCCGCTGCTCTGGCTGCAGCCAGCAGAACTGCATCACCTCGTACCTGCGAGGAGGTCCCACGGGGGCCACGTCAGAGGCAACGCTGGCCAGGAACGCATCCATGGGGCAGGGATGGGGTTCCCCTAACTCCCAGTGTCTTGGGGACGTTAAGGGCATCTCCCACTTGAGTGACGCCCCAAATCTGCCAAGGCAGGCCCAGCAGCGTGGGAGCAGGAGGTGGTTGGGCACTCCCCCTAAGCCTTCCCTCCCTGCACACAGGGGTGCAGAGGTGGTGGGTAGAGGCCCTATCAGAGGAGAGGGGAGACCAGGGAGGGCTGGAACCCCAGGGGGTCAGGGCGAGCCGCCTCTGCCTGGGGGTCAGGATACCCCATCTCGGCCTGGCTGTCCGGGACGGGGCGGTGGGGCCCTCACCAGCGGTCCGACAGGGTCAGCTGCAGCTGGGGCTTGGGCAGCTTGAGCTGCTGCTCCCGGACCGCGTACGCCAGCACCTGCTGGTCCGAGTGCTGGGGGTAGGGCTGCGTGCCCAGCTCAAAGAGCTCCCAGATGGTCACGCCCAGGGACCTGTGGGGTGACAGCCGTGAGTCAGGGCTGGGCACAGCAAGGGCCGCGCAGGATCCCTGGGGTGCCGAAGGGGCAGCTCCCGCCATCACGCCAGTGCCTCAGGACCAGGGCCTGGTACCACATCAGCCGCCCCTCCCTGAGGACAGCCCTTCCTTTCAGCAGACAGAATGTGCACCTGGCCAGGCCCAAGCCCAGCACCTGTGGAGCCTGCACATAAAGGCCAGGCTGGCCAAATCCATCTGCTTGTCCACTCATTCATTCATTCACTGATGCACTGAAGACCAGACACTGCCCAGTGTGGGAGCTGCCCTGGCGGAGCTGGAGGGCAGGTGTGGAGCCCGAGGCAGGGTAGGGCCAACATCAGCAGGGGACTGAGGGAACGGGAGAGAGGGGACGCCTCAGGCCAGCATGGGCAGGGCCGGGGAACAGGCAGGGGTGCACAGAGCATGTGGGCGAGTAGGGCAACTGGGGTCTCCTTCCCGTGAGCTGTGGCTTCACCTAGCCACTTTGGTCCCTGGCTGTCCCAAGAGGCTGCAGAGTGAGACAGAGGTGATTTAGCAAGACGTCACCAGATCTTGGCCAGAGCCCTGTGACTGGAGACCCCAGCCAGTGCACGGTGGGGTGGGCAGGCCAGGAAGGGGCCTTGGTGGAGAGGTGAGGAGGGGACAGCGTCCATGATGGGGCACAGTCAAGTGGCTTAGGGGAGACCCCGAAAGCTCAGGGAGGCGGCCTGGCCCATGGGATCTGAGAGTTCCCCAGAAGCAGAAGGCGGCCAGACCGCAGCCTGGGAGTGGTGGGGGCCGCGAGGGAAGCCGCAGAGGTGAGGGCAGGAAGGGGCGCCCACTACCCTGGGCAGCTCGGCCCCACCCCTTCAGAGGCTACACCAGGTGGGAATGAACAATCTGTGCTGGGTGCTCAGGATGGGGGCGGGGCTTCCAGGCTGCGGTTGTGGGAGATCCCAGCACCCCCACCGTCACCTCCTCTGCCTGGCACGGCCTGACCTACACTCCCCTGAAGGCAGCCAACACCCCGCCCGGACCCTCTCCCCAGGCACAGGTGCACACCGAGTCTCCCATCCCAGGACAGGTCCCCCAGCATGCTGAGGACGGGCTTTTGGCTTGTGGCCCTGTATGTGTGCTCTGACCCCGCCATGGGTGGGCGTCAGCCCAGGGGTCCCTGGTGCACCTGTCAGGGCAGTGTCTCCACCAGTGTGGGGTCGCCACCTAACCAGCCACTTGGGCTGCTGGCATGCGGCCACTACAGGTGGCTCCGGCAGCCCCCCAACCTCACTACTCGTGGCCATGGTTTGACATGGGTAGGCGGGTAGCACTCGGCCTCAGCCCCTCACGGCGCCACCAGGGCTGCACTCACCACACGTTCCCGCTCTTGGTCTGGTCCACGACAAGCAGGTTGCTGTGCACCTCGTCCACCAGCTCCGGTGCGATCCAGCGCAGAGGCACCCACAGCTGGTCGGCAGTCACGAAGTAGTCTTCCTGTTGGCACAGGGACGGGTCACCCCTGCCGGCACAGGCCCCGCCCCTCATGCCCAGCCCAGCCCAGCCCACCCCACTCACTCTGTATTTGCAGTGAGCCAGGCCGTAGTCACCGATCTTCACCGTCAGGTCGGCCGTGAGTAGGCAGTTCCGCAGGGCCAGGTCGCTGCAGGCAGGGTCAGGGGCGGGGGCAGGGTCAGGGTCAGTGGGGTGTGCCAGGTCGGGGAGTCCAGCACAGGGGTCCTTTGCCAACACCTGGATGGCTCACAGTCCAGGCCGGAAGGGGCACTGGAGATGCTGCCACCACCCACCCCTGCCTAGGGCCCTATCCTGTGCTCAGCCCCGAGACCTGGGGAGGGACCGTTTGCGTGGGCCTCCAATGTTACAATGCAGATGAGAATGGGGCCTAGAGAGGGTGCGGACCTGCCAGAACCCACCTGACCCGTCCACGCTTCTCCAGGACCCTCTCCTCCCAGCCCTGCTACACCATCACCCTCGGCTCCCCAGGAGGTGGGAATTGATGGGGGAACTGAGGCCTGGAGTATCCCAGGGGTCCTGCCAGCTGCCAGAGTCCAGTTTCAGGGCCCAGCCCTGCCGTGCCCACTCAGAGCTGGAGCTCTCTCTCACTTGAGCCACCACCGGCCCCAGGGTTGGGTAGGGTCTGCAGAGAACGCGGTCACCCCTGGCACTACCTCCAACCCAGCCTGCCTCGGCTGCTGGCTTGGACCCCCTGCCTGGCTGGTCACGTGGGTGTGCGGAGGCGTAGGGTACTGGGTAGATATTACCACACCTGCGGTATTACTTCTGTGCTCAGGACTCAGGGTGGGGACAGAGCCCAACCCAGGCTGTCCCTCCCCACATAAGCCCGTCTCTGTGTGCTGGGGGTTGCTATAGGCCCACGTGTCCTGGGCCTATGGGGTGGGATGGGGTGGGGTGGGGTTGGGGGCAGGGCAGCTGGGGCTCGGCAGGCAGGTCGGGAGGCTGGCAGCTACCCTCTTCAACAAAATCACTGATGCTGGAGTCACCTGAGTCATCACTCAGCACCAGGATATTGTTGGAGAGGACGGCCGTGCGGCATCTGGGGCTGGCGGGGCCACATGTCCTTCGCCACTTCTTCCAGCATGTCCCCCCGGGGTCCCCAGGGGCTGGGCATCCTGGCCCGAGCAGGACAGAACCCTCCCTCCAGGGTTCTGCGAAGCAGGGCCTGCTAAGCCCTCCCTTTGGGACTTGAGGGAGACAGAGTGTGGGGTTGGCGTGGGGCTGCAGGGTGGTGGCTGACTGCCTCGGGGACAGAGAACAGGCCAGCTTGACAGTGCGCATTTCTTCGTCTAAACCTGCAAAGTGGGTGTCAAACCATTGTCTTCCCAATTTTTCAAAAACATCATAAAATCCCTTTGTATAGCGGTTGTTTGATGCTGCATGAGATGAACCTGGCCGGTCCTTGCAACCCCCTTGCGGCAGGACCCGCCCCTATGCCCTTCCTTCAGGGGAGGGGCCGAGGCCCAGAGAGGGCCCCAGTCCAAGGGTTACAGCAGGGAGGGGCCCTGGCCTAGGGCTTCCTGGCCACTGGCCCGCGCCCGCCCTCACCTGTGCACGTAGTTGTTCCGATGCAGGTGCAGGACGCCGCAGGCCACCTCACAGGCCATGCGCTGCAGGGTCAGGGGGTCGGGCGCCATGGACTCCGCCACCCGGCAGCTCCGCAGGTAGCCCTTGAGGTCCCCCTGCAGAAAGGGGGCATGGCGCAGTCACCAGCAGACTGGGGACTGGCCACCCTGGAAGGTCCCTGCCTACCTCCCCAACTCCTCCACCCCTACCCACAGCTGACGGACAGCAGCTGCCCAGAGCAGCCCCGCGCCCTGTACAGTGGCTGACACCCAACAGTTCCTGGAGAGGGGCCGTGTCCACCAGGGCTGGGCTGGACTGAAGGCTCCCTCTCCACTGCCCCTCAGCCAGCCCTGGGCAGCAGGAGTCCCTTGGCCTGTGGTACAGAGAGAAACGCAGGGCCCCGGTGGATCTGCTTGATGGAGCCTGGGGCTGGTGGTCGAGGATTGGTCGGCAGCCCCTGACCTGCCGAAAGCCCAGCTCCTGGGAGGGCCAACGTTAGGAGTCCAGACGCCAATGTGTGAGGGCCCCTGTCCCAAGGGAAGCCAGGCGGGGACCCAGCCCAGCCGCGGGCAGGCCCGGCTCAGTGCAGGAGCTGTGTATGTGCAAGGGGGTGGGGGGCAGGTCCCTGGCGGGGGTGGGTCCCTGGGGGGTGGTGGTGATGGGCAGGCCCAGGACTCCAGGCAGCCTGGGGAAGTGGCCATCCCCAGTCCCCCATGACAAACTCAAGCCTGAGTGAGGCCGTGGAGCCCCAATGGAGCAGTGGCCCCCAACTGGCCCAGGATGCCTCCTCCTGAACCACAGGGCACACAGGCAGGTGAGCAAGCAGCTGGCAGCTCCCCAGGGGTGCAGGGAGTCCCAGCCCAGGCCTGTCCTGTGCCCAGCCCCCACAGTCCCTCCCCAGTGAGGCTGGGTCTCCCCATGGCCTCCCCTGGAAGGCGGTGGGGTAGGGTCCCTGGGTCTTGGCTTTAGGGAGGATGTGAGGCCCCCAGGGAGGGGGTGGCACCAGACACTGGCAGGGCAAGGGAGGGCCCCAGCTCAGCAAAAGCCCCGGGTCCCCCTGGGCAGCAGCTCACCAGCGGGCAGAACTCCATCACCAGCAGGTAGGGCGTCACCTCGGCACACTGGGCCAGGCACTGGAGCAGGTTGCTGTGCTTCAGGGCCCTGCAGGAGTGGACAGGCGGCCCCTGACTTGGGAGGAGCAAGGGAGGGGGAGGCGGGCCGAGCAGGGGAGGGGGAGGAAGGGGTCGCACAGTGTGGGCCTTTGTGCCCGATGGCCTCCCACCTGTAGGGCTGCACCTCCTCCAGGAACTGCATCTGCTCCTGCACGCTGGCGCTGGCCTGCAGCTCCTTCACCACCACCTGGGCACTGCTGACGCCAGAGTTCACCTCCCCCAGGAACACCTGTGGGACAGTGTCACCCGCGGCTGCTCCGCCTCCACAGGCCCCGGCTTCCAGGCCTTACTCTTCTCCCACCCGCCCCACCCCGGCCCCCAGGACAGGCCCCTTCTCCTCCTGTGCCCAGTCCATTCACTGCAGTGCGGGGTGTGGGTTCCGGACCCCTCCCAGCGACCCTCTGGCTGTAATATTCTGAGTCTTTTGTGTTATCTCTCTCCCCAAAGTCTCCCGCTGCCCCCCCCCCCCTCTCGCTCTCTCTCTCTGGGGGTTTGAAGTGAGGAAGAGGGACCCAGCTGTCTCGTTTAGGCCAGGATTGGGGGAAGGCCAGGACCAAGAGCCTGCTCCTCTCCCTCCCAGGACCCCCTAGGGAGAAGGGGATGCAGCCAGACTCTGAGGAGGGATCCAGCAGGGCCCAGGGACCAGAGAAGGGACCCTCGGGGCTGGGGTGGCTCCCAGGAAGAGCAGGTCTGCATCCCTGTGTCCCTTCTGCCTACCAGGCGACAGCCCTCTCTCCCAGGTGGGACACATACCTTCCCGAACCAGCCATGGCCGATTTCCTTCAGGTATAGGAGGCTGTGCCGGCCCAGGTCCGTGGACTTGAGGAGCTGCACTGTAACCAAGCAGGGGGCTCAGGGACCCAGTGCGGCCTTCGCACCCCCCAGCTTCCTCACCTGGCCCTTAGAGGGACTGCCCGCTTGGCCTGTTCTGGGAAACTGTCCTGAGTCCCCAGCACCAGCTGGCAGCCTTGGGGCTAGCATCAGGAGCCAGGGTCTCTCGAGATCAGGGGCCGCTGCTTCCCAGAAAAGCCACGGAGCTGCAGGCTCCATCCGGGCATCTTTCTGGATAGGTCTGGAGAAGGTGCCTGAAGCCACCGGAATAGCTGGGCGAGGGACAGCAGGGCCCGGAGCCGGACCCGCCACATGGGCTGTACCAGGCAGGCAGTGTGGCTGAGCGAGAGGCTGGGGCCACGGCACAGGGAGGGCACTGCAGCGGCCCACCCCCACCCTGCCGCAGGCTGGCATCCCACGCCAGGCACACCAAAGGCTCCTTTGTTGGGGGCTGCTTGGCACAACCCCGCACGGAGCACACTGGCCCATTCTCCCCGAGGGCCAGGCCGGGTGAGGTCAGCGGGAGGAAGGGTCAGTGAGGCCCGGGAGGAAGGGGCCAGCGCTGGCAGAGCCCACTCATGCCTGCCCACGCCCCGAGGGATTCCCCGAATTCTGCTCCCACGCCAACTGCCCAGAGGGCTGACGGGGCTGGGTCTGAGCCCAGCTGCCAGGAGAGCCCACAGGGAGGGGACTCCTTCCAGGGCCCAGAGACCCAGAAAATGTAGAGGTGGGGCAGGGCAGAACTGAGCATGTGGGCCCACCGGGTGCTGTGTCCCGAGCCCAGCCTGTCTGGACAGCCCTCTTTCACCCTGGGGCGTCCAGGCCCACACTGTCCCTGAGCAAGTGTGGGGGTCCTGACCATGGGTGCTGAGACAGTCCAGAGGCCCTGGGCACCGCCGGAGGCGGCCGTCCTTCTCTGCGGTCCCCAGCGGGTGGGGCCATTGCCCAGGTTTCTCCCCGCTGACCTCTGGGGCTGCTCTTCTGGCCTCACCCCAGTCTCTCTCCTCTCTAGAAGCACATGCCCCCCGGAAAACTGAAACCAGAGCTCTAAAAGTAGAGAAACAGGTAACCACTGCCTTCCTCCAGGTCCCTGTCGGCCGACCCCCATCCCCAGGACGGTCCTCCAGAGGTAGCTCGGAGAATCTGCAGGGGCACATACCTGCCCCTGGACCCAAGGGCAGTAGCCCCTTGGATGGTCCCTGGCAGCTCCCAGCAAGGTCAGCACAGGGCTCAGGGACCCCCGCAGCCATCCGGGAATGTCAGAGGGCCTCGTGCGCTGAGTGGGTGGCTGCAGTCCTTCGCGCCCGGCCACAGATGTGCTCACAGCTCAAGTGCCAGCCCTGATTCCTGCCTAACTGGGAACCTGTCCTCCAGGAGACGGGGCAGAGTAGGACAGGCGTTGAGGCCCTGGCTCCGAAGCTGGGGGCTGGGGGCCCTCTCTAGGTCCCAGACCAGCGCCTTGGGTGCCAGGCTGCCACGATGAAGGCGAGGCTCGCAGGGCCCAGCCAGGCACAGCTCAGAGCAGGTGAGGCAGCCTTCATGGCACTGTGGTAACAGGCCCAGGTGCCAACAGAGCCCCAACAGGGCTGGCAGGGGCCCCTCCCACTGGCCTGACACCCCTCCTGCCTGTGTTCCCAGAGGAGCTGGGGGTGGGCAGTGATGGGGGAAGCCCCAGGCTAGAAGCTTCCTGGGAGGGGGCCTGAGATCTGATGGTTCTGGAGGGACCCCCACTCACCACCCAGGCTCCAGGACAGAACTGGGAGTTCCTGAAGCCTGGCCATTCACCCCCAGCCTCCCCCAGCACGTCCACCCCGTGTGAGTGGTCGGCCTAGGACCCTAAGATGGGGGCAGATGAGGCTGTGGCTGAGGGCCCTGCCTGCACCTGCACTCCTGGGTCAGCCCCACCCCTCGGCCCCTCCCCCGAGCCTGAGTGAAAGGCCGATTCACCACCCGCCCACAGGGGCCCCACCAGGGCCCCTCCTCCCGCCATGCACAATGCAGTCCGTGTCCCTGAAGGGCTGGCGCTCAAGGGGGCAGGAATCTGGGGTCAAGCATCCCTGGACTGCAGAAGAGTCCCTGCCCCCAGCACATGGCCATGTCCAGGACCAAACAGCCCGCACCCCTGCCCCAGTGCCCACCACTGCTCCTGTGCATAGCAGCCCTTGGGCAGGGCAGGCTGGAGGCCCAGGGCTGTACCAGACCCTGCCAACCCCTGGCCGGCCCCCAGGCCCAGGAGAAAGAGGTACATGGACCTTTGGCCCCACAGCGCAGCCTGGGACGCAGCCACAGGGAGTCCAGGGCCGCACACTGCGTCTACCCCACCGGCCACTCCCAGCCCCGCTCTGCTCCCACTCCAGAGCTGAGTCTTCCGGTCTCCCTGGCGCCCCCAGGTCACACCCAACACCCAGCACCTGGGCCCCGGAGGGAGGCCACCCCGTCTCCCCACCCAGCCCTCACCTGAGCGCCCAGGCTGCTTGGCCATGGGCAGGGAGACCTCCGTGAGTGGCAGGACGTACACGTCGGGCCCGTTCTGTGCCGCCGTGGCTGGGGAGCCCTGTGCCAGGTCAGCCGCATACTCATCCCCCTCCGCATTCTCAAACTCCTGCGGGCCGGGCCGGGCGTGAGCAGGGCTTCTCGCAGGTCCAGGAAGGGTGTGGCTGGGCCTTTCCAGGCCCCTTTCTTCCAGGGCCGAGCTCCCAGGGCAGGACAGGAGGGGGTACTTGGCCCAGAATTGGAGCCCCCACCCCTGCAGGCTAACGGCCCAGCACCCCTGCTAACTGCCCTTCTGTCTCCTCTTGCTGACCCCCACGCCCCCCACCAGGGGCTCCGTTGTCCCATAAGGGGCCAGAGGCAGATCCCAGAGCCAAGAGGACCCATCTCAGACTCCAGAAAGGGTGTGATGAGCTGTAGGCACCAGCGCCTTGGCCTGGCCTCAGTTCCCCCATCGCTCCCTGGTGGGCAGCCCAGGCTGAGCCCCACCTTGGGGCCTGAGGGCCTAGAGGCAGGGAACCAAGGGACCGAGGTGAGGGCACTGAGGCCAGCTGGCCCTGCCCATCCAGAATCAGCCCCCAACACCTCTCAACCACCCGCATCCCCAGCAGCCCCTCACCTCGGGCCCTGCCTGGGATTCCACCCTCCCACGGGGCAGCTTCGGGGACAGGAATTCCAACGCCCCCTGTCCCACAGTCCTGTGGGAGAAGCAACTAAGCAACCCCCCCCACTGCGGGGACAAGGAGCATTCCTGGGTGCCTGGGAGCCCAGAGCCCACCTGCCACCGCCATCCACCCCGACGGCCCTGGACCTTTGCCTGGTGGCCACACCACCTCCGGAGCTCCCAGGACTCCTTAAGAGCCTGGCCCCGTGCAGCCTAGGGCTGGGCCACTCCCTGCCAGGCTGCTATTTTGAAATGCAGAGGCCACACCTGTACAGGGGAGACCCCACCCCCAAGTCCAGGGCACATTCCTGCTCTGACAGCCAAAGTCTCCAAAGTCCTGGGCCAGCTGAAAGCAAAGGCCCTGGGCACACAGTGACAGCCGCGATCCCCGAGCACTCGGTACAGCCTCTCTGCCTCCTCACAACCCCCAGTGCCCCGGTGGGGAAACTGAGGCTCAGATGGGTCAAGGGACTTCCCGCTGGATCCTGGCCAGCACCCGGGCTGGTGAGTCCGAGGAGGCAAGTGCAGTGGGAGGGGAGGCCTGGGCTCCTCACACACTCCGTGTGACCCTGGGGACGCCTCCCTTCCCTGGGCTGCAAAAAGGGGGGTGGGTGGCTCTGTTGGTATTCCCGCAAGCCTGGCCCAGCCTGCACTTCTGGAGCACACAGGGATGGGGGATGGGGGATGCAGGTGCTGTGTGGGCAACTCCCCCGCCCCAGGACCCAGGAGACCACCCCAGAAGCCCCCCCTTGGCCCCCCAATCCCAGCCCTGGCCCCGCCCATCTGGGCTTTGTGGAGGGGCCCAGGTCACAGATGCCATCTCTCCCTGGGGTCGGGCCCGGGCTCCAGGCATTACCTGCTGCCCGGGGGCCGGCCGGGTCCTGCCGATGCAGCGTGCAATCAGGTAGCACAGGGTCAGCATTGGGGGCCTGCCCAGCCCCTTCCCCCAGCACAGCTCCCCACCAGGGAGTCCGGCACAGGCCCCCAAATCCCAGGAGGGAGCCCAGTGTGGAGGCAGGACTTCCCAGAGGCACGCTGGCGCTGGAATGTTCCGGGCACCATGTTCCCAAGGAGGTGAGGAGGGCGCAGGAGGAGGAGCTGTGGCCAGCCCTTGTTTGGGGCCTTGTTCTTACAGTGCCCCGAGGAGGGGCCACTGATACAATAGCCCCACATGTCCCACCCAGGCCCCACCTCCACTCCTGACCCCGCCAAGACCTTGAGGCTGTGGCCTCAGGATGCCCAGGAAGGCGCCAGCGCGGCCTGGCCCAGCCCCTGGTGCCAGCAGGTCCAGGGGCACGTCCCCAGGGCAGGGTAGGGGCTCTGGGCAGGAGCGCAGACCCCACAGCCTGGAGCCACAGCTTTGCTGCCCAGGCCCACAGCTGCTCATTGGTTGACGGGGCCTAGGCCACCTCAGAGGGCTCTGGAAGGGTGAATGGGCTGGAAAATGTGGCCTTTGGAAAAGGCAAAAAGGCCACATTCAGCACCGTCACCTTCCAGGCCAGCGAGACAGGTGGGCAGGGCCAGATCCTTGGCCCACTCTGCGTCATGACATACCAGGGCAGGGAGGACTCTGGGACTGTCTCCAAAATGGGGGTGACGCCGGCGGGGGCACGGGTCACTTTGTAGAAAAACGCCCCTGAGATATGGACGGGGTGCTGTGTGCGCCGCAGAACGAAGCCTCCCCCCTCCCCCTCCCTCTCTGACTTCTCCTGGCGTAAGAATCCGACCTCTGGCCCAGGGATGGGGCTGACCCCCGTGGGGGTGTGAACCACCAGAGGTCCAGGCCAGGGTGTCGTTTGCTCATCAGCAGGAATGGGGCCCATGGAGACTCCGGGAGGGGTGGGCAGTGCTGCCCGGGGCGCTCTCTGCCTGGCCCTCCCTGCTGCTCGGAGTTACAGCTGGAAGTGGGCTGGGGGTTGACAGCGGGAGGAACAGTGCTCAGCACCTGTCCTTGGCTGGGGGCCTTGGCCTCCAGAAGGGCAGCCTAGTGAGGCCAGGCCTTGCCCTTGGTGATGCTCCCTAACCAGCAGGCAGGCTCCAGCATCACACACCGCCCCTCCAGAGGGCAGAAGATACCCCGGGCAAGGTGACAACTGGTGAGAAGGTATCTGTGCGGGGAGCTTGTCTGGGCGGCCCGGACTTCCCCTTGCAGGTTGAATTCGGAGGGATGTGAGGGCCCCCTGCAGAGGCAGCTCCTTCACCAGGAGTCAGGGGCCTCTAGGGAGGCAAGCCCCCTCCCACACCAGCTCCAGAGTCCCCGACGCCCCCTGAAAGGCTGTCCTCAGCCTCCACGAGTGCTCAAGCCCAGCCCCAGGCTGGAGTGGGAGCATCAGATCACGCCCCAACAGACGGCTTCAAAGTCAGGGAAGCTGGGGCAGGTTCCTGAGGAGGAGCTATGGAGTCCCTGGGCCAGGGTCCACGTGGTCCCCAGGTGGCCCCGCAGCGACTACGGCCACCTAGCAGCCACCTTGGTGGCCCTGGGAAGGACAGAAGCTCAGGGTCAAGTGGACGCTACAGGCCTTGCCTGCGGGATCCCACAGCAGCTCCCGCGGCCCCCAGGCCTCACCTTGAACCCGATGCCGCCCTTCTTACAGCACAGGCAGGCCAGCATGAGGACGATGACGGCGAAGAGCCCGGAGAAAGACACAGCCACCACGGCGAGGGAGGATGGCCAGGACAGCTCGCTGAGCGGGGCGCCGTCTGCGGGAGAGCAGCGCAGTGAGAGTGGCCATGGCTGAGGGCCGGCCAGGCCCCTGCCCCTGCTCCAGGCTCCGCAGCCCCAGTCCAGGCTGGGCCTCAGCACCCTGACCTCTCGTCCCAGACCCCACACCTCACAGTGTGGTGAGCAGGTGGCCAGAGCCTGCAGTCAGTCACTGGACGCCGCCCCGGCCTTGCCAGAGGGACATGGGGTTGGCAGAGTGGCCAGAGCCTGCCCAGTTCCCAATTCTAGGGTTCACAGATACCCCTCTGAGAAGTCAGGGTCTCAGGGGCTACAGGGGGACCCCCATCTCCCTCCCGGATGCCGGTCACCCCACCTTGCCCCTCTGGGGCTGGGAAGGGGACATGGACTCCTCAAACACAGGAGACCATGTTGCTGGCTGCTATCTGCAGGCCATGCATCAGGCTCCAGACAGCGAGGGCTCAAGGCTCTTTCAGCCTCTGAGGTGCGGGGACCTCACTGTCCCTGAGAAGGTGGTGCTGCCTCTGCTGGGCAGCAGGGCTCCTGCGTGCCTCCAGGCTGTCCCCTTGCCAAACCCACTGCCAGGCCTCTGGTGCTGTTTCTGTCCTGGGAACCGCGGGGAAACCCCCTTCTGCAGCTGCTGATCCACGGAGCCCCTCATCTCAGAGGGAAACTGACAGTACAGCGTCCCTCCCAACACCCGAGTTTTGAGCTGGGCCCGGCTTCCAAATCAGGACAGCTGAGCTGAGCCAGGCTTCGAGGAAGCTCGGTCCATCTGCTGCCCACAGGATGACACGGTGGGGGCCAGCCTGGGTGTCCCCTGGGCAGGGGAGGGCAGACTGACCCGCTGGCTCCATCCCCTGGGCCTGCCCCATCCCACCACACCCAGCTCCAATCTGTGCCCTTCCCTAAGAGCTTTCCGTCTGGCTGTCCTCCACTTGGCCCTGGAGATTTCCCGGCCACCCCCAGTGCCTCTTGCCACTGAGCACCTCCAGCTTCTCAGCTCCCCAGCTCCCAACACCCCTCCACACCCCACCTCCTGGCCCAGCACACCCCCAAAGCTGTTGTCATCTCTACCCCACTGGACCAGCGATGAAACAGGGTCAGCGGGAGCAGGGCTGCCGAAGGTGGCACAGCTGATCTCGCCTGGCCTGCTCTGCCAGGGCTGCAGGCTAACGGGGCATCTGGGAAGGCTGCCTGGAGGTGGCGTGAGCTAGAAGACAGTGAAGGCACCCTGGGCTTCCTGCTCGGGTCTCCAGGTTGTTCCCCACACCCACACACGGGGAAGAGAGGACCCAGGACGGCTTGGAGTGAGGACCAGACAGGGCTGTGGGGACAAGGAGGCAGGGGGGCCCGCAAAGCAAGACCCGGGTTACTGGGGCAGGAAACCAACTCTGCCGCACGTGGAGAAGAGCCAACGGGTGGGGCCGTGAACAGATGTCGTCCCAGGTGAGGTTTCCAGGATGTGCGTGCGTGTCATGCGTGTGAGGACACCCCGCACACCGGGTAAGCCCCCCTGTGTTCTCACACCCGTACAGCAGGAACACAGGCAGAGGCTCACAGGCACTCAGCAGGCCCCGCCCTCCGAAGCAGCCAGTGCCTTCCGGGACTGCGCGTTGCCATGGTGCCCATCTCCCAGGCTCCATCTGGTGCCTGCCTGGCATCGGTCCACACCCCTCTGCCACCCTCGCCCACGCCCTCCTGGCCCGTCTCCTGGCGGGCCTTTCCCTCATGGGACACACTGGGTGAGTGAAGGAACCTCTCTGTGGCCTTTTGGGGCCAGGATCTGGACTTCTGTCCTCAGAGCCGGCAGAGCCCTGGGGCTGGACAGGCCACCTGCTGGGCAAACGGCAGCCCCAGGAGGCCCGACCTCAGCCTCCCCCTCAACCTCCCCTTCGGGCCCCTCAGCCACCCTGGGCTCCCCCACCCCAAGACCCTATCCACCCTCCGTCCTCCCCCGCACTGAGGCAGCTGGCCCTGGGGCATGGCCCTGCTGAGTCCCCTCTCCCCTCTAGAAGGCCCCGGTCCCAGTGCTGGGCGGCCATGGGGGGTCATTCAGCACCACGTGCTGACTCAGTGGAGGGCAAAGGTGGGCAGGGGCACTGGGCAGGCCTGCCCATGAGCACAAGGCCACGTCCCCTGAAGGTGGATGTGTAGGCATGGGGGGTGGCCACACAAGCCAGCCAGAGCCAGAGGGTTGCAAGGAGAGGCGGCACACAGGCTTTCCAATCCACAGGAGCAGTCGGTTTCTGGAGCCCCTGCCAGCGCCCAGAGCCGCAGAAACCACCGTGGATCCCATCTGACAGCGGCTGTCCGAAGCTCCACCCAGAGACCCTCCCTCCTCAGAATCACTACCACCCCTGTGGGGCGCGATGACTCACGCCTGTAATCTCAGCACTTTGGGTGGATCACTTGAGGTCAGGAGTTCGAGACCAGACTGGCCAACGTAGTGAAACCCCATCTCTACTAAAAGTACAAAAATTAGCTGGGCGTGGTAGCACAAGCCTGTAATCCAAGCTATACAGGAGGCTGAGGCAGGAGAATTGCTCAAACCCAGGAGGCGGAGGTTGCAGTGAGCCAAGATTGTGCCATTGCACTCCAGCCTGGGCAACAGAGTAGGACTCTGCCTTAAAAAAAAAAAAAAAGGAATTACTGCCATCTCACTTTGCAGATGAGGACACTGGGGCCCATGGAAGTGAGGTGGTTTGTCCAGGACACCAGCGAGTCCAGGCCCTGTCCTCATGGCCACGAGAGGACCCTGGACAGAGGAGGGGGTTCCCACAGCCTCTCAGCCTCAGGTTGATGGCTCCCTCAGGCCCACCTGCTCTCGGCCACCCTGGCACCCACAGCCTAATGCACCCACCGCCACCTCTGCATTCCCAGAACCTTCTCTGTGCCCTCGTCAGAGGCACCTGCTGCCGGGGCCCCACTGGCTGTCAGCTTGCAAGACAGACCACGCTCTGACCCCAGATGCCAAGGGCCAGGCCTAGTACCCTGGGCACCATGACACTTGTAACAATCCAGCACACATAGGTGCCCACATATGTGCATGCGTGAAAACACATGAAACATTCATGTGCACATACCTCATGAAAACACATGAAACATACATGCACACGTAGCATGCATGCAACCATACCTGTGACCGTGTGCACACTGTACACGGGCCAAGACATAAATGTCACACACAGACGTGCACACGTGCATATGCATGTGTACATACCACACACACACATCCACACGTGCACATACATAACCACACACGAGCGTACCCACACGCACACACCCACATGCACACCCACATATGCGAGCCCACGCCCCCACACACGTGCGAACACACCCACACATGCAAGCACACACCAACACAGGCACACGCACACACACCCACACACACGCACACACACCCACACACACGCACACACCAACACAGGCACACGCACACACACCCACACACACGCACACACACCCACACACACGCACACACCGGCCCAGTTACATAGTCACCACATCTGAAGCACAGATGAAGTAACACACACACACACCAACACACGTGCGCACACCCACACACGCACACACACACGCATGTACACCCCACACAGTCATACACACATGCACACACCCACACGCACGCACACACCCACACCAGCATGCACACATCCACATGCGCACACAACCCCCACACGTGTGCATACCCACACATGCACACAGATACACCCACATGCACGCGCATGCGTGTGCACACACACGCATCCAGACATACCCAAACAGGCGTATGCACACACACCCACACGTGCACACACACGTGCATGCACACCCACACATGCGCACACACACGTGCATACACACCCACACACACATACCCATACTCGTAGACAGATACCCACACGTGCGTGCGCACATGCGCACACACCCACACACATGCACACACACCCCCAGACGCGCACATACCCACCTGCACCCACACACGCACACACAACTCCACAGGCGCACACATGAATGCACACATGCGCACACACATCCCCTGGCTCAGTCCCCACTACCGGCCTGCTCAGTATCATCATCCTCAGTTTACAAGTATGAAAACCGAGGCTCAGGGATGTCACAAGCACACCCAAAGGGTGGCCCGGCTCTGCCAGCTCCATACCCTGCTCCAGACGCCATGCCTGCCCCTCCACAAGCCACGGGAAGGCTCCACTTATTTCCTTGGGGTTAGCCCCACGAGCAGGTGGGGAGGCCTCTGTGGGGTCTGCTTGCCTGTCCCGCTCATTAATGCCTCACTCTTCCCAGATGCGAGAAGGGGTATCTGGGACCTCACAGCCCAGAGGCTTGTGCCCAGGAAGACACAAGTTGCACATGACTGTGTTTCTGAAACTTCTTGAAAGCCCATTTAAACCAGCATCCCACTGTTTAACCCTCTGCTACCACCCACGCTACACAGTGTCCCCCAGGCTCTTCCAAGCCCGGCCCTCTGCTGCCACACATACCACGCGGCCCTCAGGCTCTTCCAAGCCCAGCCTGGCCGTACTGCAGTCCCTGGTCCTCCCGCAGGCCTTACGAGAGCCCAAGAAAGCAGCCGCACTGAAAGGTCCCTTCAAAGCAGACCCCCCCAACCCTGGTGACCCCTGCTGATGCCCCAACCCTCCGCTGCACTGCCCCTGGCCATGGTGAGAATGGGTGCAGTTCTGCCTCCTCTGCAGCTGGGCTGGAGGGTGCCTGTGTGAGCCTGCGGTGGATACACTGTGACACCAGCATGCACACACGTGTCCAGGCTGTGGCTTCCTAAGGCCACTGTCCACACAAGGAACCAGGGCCTCACCCACGCGAGGTAAAATGCACCAGGATCGTCACAGCCCTTGAGTCCTCTGTCCACCAGCCTTGTCCACTGGCACTGAATCGGCCACTCTTGGGACCCCCAGAGGGTGACTCTATTTGTTTCAGAGATGGGGTCTCACTGTGTTGTCCGGCTGGGAATACAGTGGTGCGATCACAGCTCAC